GAAGGACTCTTTCCGGTAAATCAAAGTCTAAACCATTTTGTTTCTGTAGAGCGTTTTAATAAATACGGAAAAGAAAAGTTTTGTCAGTTAATTTTTTTTTTGTTTTGCTAGACGAGAACCAAATTAGAATTACTCCTAGCCGCTTCATGCTTCGGAAACCGCAGTTAAGTGCCGGCCCGATGAGCCACATGGCTCGTAAGTAGTCTTTTTTACCTTTTAGTAGTGTTCGTTACTGTGAAGATCGCCTTTATGCTCGTTCTTTAGCCGCAGTTCAAATATATGACTTTCATATATTCACAAACGAGAATATATCAATCTTAAACTTGTAAATAAACAAATAAAAAAGGAACAATAAAACTAAATCAAACATCAACAAAATACATACAAAACCCAACCTGGACCTATCTCTGAAAAACTTCCCATTTGTGCCAGCCATTTATAGATTGACTCAGTTATTAAATTTATTCTGGGTTTAAAGTCCTAACGATGCTTTAATCATTAGATGTTTTGTCTGGATAATGAATGAAATTTGCTTTTGGTTTTGTTATCGGTCCACAAATTAATGCCACAACGTTAATTCCGGCGTCTGACTTAAAATCTGAGACATTCTACTTCCGGCTTCGGAATTCTAATTCCCGACTTCAGAATTCGGATTTTCGGGGTTCTCAGTTTAATTTAATTTGAGACTATCAACTTATAATTTCACGACTTCCGGCTTCAGACTTCTAATTTTCGACCTCAGACTTCGGATTTCGGACACGTTATTTCAGAGTTCGAAGTTTTATCTCCGACTTTCCACTTTTGGTTTTCCGACTTCGGACTTCCTAATCTCCGACCTTGGACATTCAATTTCGGAGTTCGGAGTTTTAATCCCGACCATCTGACCTCTGGCCTCGCACTTCTAATGTGCGACTTGTGACTTTAAAGCCTCTTATGTGTAACTTGTGACTGCAAAGTGACTTCGGAATCCGACTTTCATTGATCAGTTGTTACATGTAGACCTTCGATCTTCCTTTTCTCCGATTTGGACTCTAGAGTGCTATTATNTAAACAAATGCACAGAAAACAGTATAGAGATATATGCAGTCATGTTACAGTGTCAAGACTTGAACAAATAAGGCAACAGTTCGCAAACACCATGGAAAAGAAGCGATTTTTTATTTATCATATTTCATATAAATACATAGAAAATTTAATAACTTTATGCCAGCGCATCGAGTGGTATTTTGCTCGCACCGATCAGATCGCCGCGTTGGGGTGTACGTATGTACTTCATACCAACCAGACAACAATATCAGGACCACGCTCACCCGGACGATCAAATCTACATATTTTAAAACTGTACAGTGCTATTACTAGATTCAATTCACTCTCAAGGCTTTTTGTCCTATAATCAACGAAAATTTAAGCCATAGAGAAGTTTTTTCTGCGTAGTCATAATCCTATTTAAATACGAAGGTGGTTTGGAAGAATTCAGGAAAGTTACGCAAACCCCGGGACGCATTCGAAGGCTTGCATGAATTTCAATCATTCTCCCAGCCTCAACCTCATTCTCGTCGTGGGAGCTCGCGAAAGCATTGACTTTGAAATGTTTTGAAAATGTGCCGACAAACACAGAAAGCGTGACGTCACAACTGTGTTCAGACACTCTCGTCTAAACTCACCAGTTGACCAATGAGAGCGCACATACTACCTCAATATTTCCCTGTTGAAGTCATCATGCTGGCTGACAAGGTGGCTTAGAAGAACTCGAGAGGGCTCAAAAAATTGCTTAAATGTTCTATTCTATAATCTTTTGCTAGGCCAGAATCGTAAATTAAAAAAAAAGGAACAAAGAATGAAAAAAATTTGCGCAGAACGAAATGAACTGAACAGTTAATGAACATGAAACTAGGAAAAAATGCTTCATATTTTGGGATATACCTCACTTCAAATAGTAAACAAGAGTTATCACCTGTGCTGTAAAAGACGCGCTCATGAGACTATTCTTTGTCCTCGAGCCTGAGCACCGATGATATAGCGGATTCTGAAATCAAAAGTTTTCAAACGATACGAAAGGACGAATATTCTAATGTGTGTACAGATTGCAATGATACGCATGCACTATTTAATTTATCGAAGTGTTGGCGGCTCATGCTTGACTAGAGATGAAATTTGTAGCAAGGTTATCAAAAGCCATATCTCCAGACTACGAATGGATTTTAGATTGAATTTTTTTATTAGCTTCGCCGACAGGCAGGGATCCCGCAACAGCTTGCGCCAATTACTGCGGGCCCAGTACCCACCCATCCCACCCCAGGGGAGGACATCCACCACACAGTAATCTCGTGCGTGGGAAATTAACGTCTCCTACCCCAACTCTGCAGGAGACTGGACCTACGGTTTATTCGTCCTTATCCGAGAAGACTAGAATGTCTATCAATTTCCTGATATTATAGAAAGGTACTTCTCCTCAGTAATTTTTAAGACCTTGAGTGTTGGTCCGGTCTGGGTTAGAGCA